TTGATTGAAGTGGCTACGACATTGTACTCGTGTTGTGGCACTGAATTCCTAAACGGTGAATATTAATTCAAATCACATGCGTGGCCTGCGAGCATTCTGCCGGTGTGCCACCGACGCACCTTACGTTGATGTACAAAACAGTTTTGACGTGCTTGCGAAGGTGACATGATTTCACTTACCAGGAGACTCCCAAATTAATAAACAGTTTACAGAAATTACACTTGTATAACTTATACCCAGAAAGTTGAAGTTGAGACAAAACAGGACCAGAAAATAACGAAGTCTTGGATACAGTGGAAACGGAGTTCCGTAATAGTGACAGGAGATCGATAAGATGATAAGTAACCAGTGAGTTGCGTGACAGTGAGATAAACAAAATTACATCACAGCCAAAGATAAAGAGGTTAAAGCCAAAGATCACGTAATCTACTGGAGTGGAGAGCAAGACCATTGGGTTAACAGGGCAAGGGGAGGCTGATAACTGCTTCTTTCCTAACATATAAATCGGGTTTCAAGTGTTTGTTAGTAATCGCCTTGGCAAAATTTAGAAGAACTGAACTATGTTGTCTGTTGATAATTTTAATAGATTTCATGATCTGTATTAACGAGATGTCTGGCAATGATACTATTGAAAGCGTTTGTTTCCTTGATATGTAAGTTTCTTGGTATGTGTTCAGAGAATCAAAGGTGTATCCTTTTTTCTGTTCTCCTAATGTAACTGCTACCACATATACATGTAAATTTGTATTCACAGTTAGAGCTAACATAAAAAAGGCATCTATCAAACTTCGATTGCACCAGAAAGCATATTCAATAGACGGAAATCAACTTAGCTACAGGATAGGTTCTGCGTAGTCAAGTATTTAACCTTCTGTTGACTACTCCTGAAATATTATCGCTTTTGAAATCGAGCTGTGTGCAAATAGGATTCTTTATCACTGTGATTTGTTCTGCATATAGATCTCACACCTCCCGTACTTGTTAATGAATTTCCGAGGGTAACTTTTATTTTTTTTTATATCTCGAGAACCGAAAATTCTTCCTCCAGTTATTCAATAGAGGACAGTTCTGACCAATGTTTGTTTATAGCTAATCGGTGAAAAAAAGTATTGAAATTTAAGTATTGTGCATTCCACATACGCTTTCGGTGAATGGATCTTTGAAGACTACCATGTTCCTAGCGTTGCATGGCGACGTCTAGAAAAAGGAATTTTCTCATTACTTCATTGTGCCATAGTGAAGCATTGAATAATACAAATAGATAGGATGCAAAACTTTCATTGTTACATACTACACAAGTGTCATCAACATATGGACAATAAGACGTTTTGCTGATCACATGCTTTAGCTTTGTTCTGTCAGGATTAGACATGCAGATGCCTGCTAATACATGAATTAGTGAACTGACCATATAACAAACCGTTCTTTTTACTATACCAAATTTTTGCCTGTTGGTTTTAGTCTCTTAAAGTACATGTCTGGTTTTCTCAGGATTCTAAGAATCAGTGGTTTGGGAATGTCAGTGACATGGTTCAAAATCTTTCGTACTGGTTAAGGATAAATTCATGCCTAGTAATCTTTTGAACTCAAAAAATCACCAATAATCTTCATCTACTTATTCTTATTTCTTTTTTCGACTTTCAAGTATTGTTCTTAGAGTTGTGACTGCTTGAACTAATGGACTTTATTCAAATTTCTACTCCGATAAATCAGTTACTAATTCCCTCACAGCTGGGATGAAATCAGACTATTAACATAATATTCATTACTGAATACATAAGAACCGACTGTCTGAAATTGTCCATCCTGGAAAACCGTTCAAGTGAAGTTCACAACAGAACTTTTAGGTTGTTTGAAGTAATGCTGACTTTAAATTACTGCTTTTTGTGGATATTAAAATTTACATTCTTTCGAAATCCATTAGAAATGAAGTTAGCAAAATTATGAAAAATTCGTGCTTTACATGAATATAAAATATCTTGACAATCTACAAAGTAAAAAATCTTTCAGCTTATTTCAGTGTCTATATTTTGAGTTTCATTCTAGTTATTCATGAACATATTCTAATCAGATAGTGAAATCTGATGTTTAAATCCTTTATACAGTAAAAGATGATTCAACAGTACTCCAGGAGTTTTTATTCTAATAAATTCGTCAACAATTCTCCGCTTGTTATTTTCAGACTACACTTTAACACTAGTTTCGGTAATTCTCAAGCGTAGAACCCAGTCGTTTTCATATTATTCAATGTAAAAAGAAACTAAGATTTATTTATGCAAGTTAACTGCTAAATAGCCGTGAACGCTGATCTTAGTCTGGCAATCAGAAGTATTAGAACGATCAGTAAGCTAAGTAACATAATATTGCTGTATGCAGTGAATTAATATGACTTCAAATAGTAAGCCAACTTTTCAAGTGTTGGTTTGATTGGTTGCGGGTTCGATTACGAGCTGACATCAGTTAGAGAACCGTTGAAAACTAGGGGATAGCTTTTTCATCCTAATTTAGTACTCTAAAAAAGTACGGACCCATAGGGGATCGAACGAAGGACCTTCAAGTTACAAGGCGAGCTCGCAGACCATTCAGCCACTTGGAGTCGATTAAATGGCTCATGAATTCCAACTACTGCTGATTAGCAGTATATACTGCAAATGTCATAGAAGAGTAACTGTACTCTTATCTAACTTGGTGGATTCTGCTGGTCACAACTTCTCACTAGAAATCTAGCTACAAAACTTGGATTTGAGTTTGTTAGTAATTATAAGTATATAGTACCTAGGAATTTCGGGAAATTCTTGTTACCTTAGTGATTCAAACCCGCATTTTTGAATGCCCAATAAATCATTTGTGCCATATGGTGACAGACGAAATATTTAAGTGTGAGGAGAGAACTGTTCAACTTTTTAGTCTGAAAACCACCCATTCTAAATATATACAGTGAGTAACTAACAATGAGAACAGGATATCTTTTATTTTCTACAGAATAGCTTAGTATTTCATTAGTGAACTTGACGTGTATAATTTTAATACTCATGTTAGGTAAGCGCACGGTGATGACAGTAGTATTTTGGATTGTGTTCTAAGTTTTCACGAAGCCCGTATACTTGACATCATAGAATATGTAGTCAAAACACAGACCTATTTATTATTAACAATAAGGGATTTTTACAAGCGCCAGTTACACAAACATACGGATAGCTATCACCTCACCGTATTTGAGTATACGTTCCTGATGGTTTCTGAAAAGTAATCTTGAAAGCTGTTTTGCTATAAATCTTGCGATTCATATAAATTATGAGTTTTGTGATATATACAAAGTTGGTAGTCTTCTATTTGCGTTTGTCAGTTTCACTTGTTTTTCTAACCAGTTGGACGTATGTTCTCTCACCCTTATGTGTGAAGCAGAATTACTCCTCCCTATGCGTGTGGCCACATTCACACACACATAAGTAAACTGATACGGAATTCAAGTATTGGTTTTCCGATGGTTCTCTAACCAATGTCAGCTCATGATGAAATCCTCATACGGAATTGTTTAAGCCAAAGAGAAAAAGAGATCACAACAACTGTGATCAGGATAATGGACCTAAAATTTTCGATGATTGGAAGCGATTTCGGTATAGCTGAACATCTCAGTCTTAGCTCCACAATTAATCACCTGCTCGATACTACTAACTGAGCTACATATATCTCGTCCGCTTTTGATCACACTAGATATTGAATCGGTAGTAATTACTTAAATCCAAATCAATCTGAATAAAGGAGAGAAATGAACAGACTGATCATCAACTAAACTATTAGAAGTAGCACCTTTTGGAAGATTTTGTATGTATACAACGCTGATGATTGAACAGAAACACAATTCACTTGATACAGTCTTGCAGTTGTAAATTAGAGGTTGTTGGTTAGATTAATTTCAGCAACCTATGCATCTACTGAAACTGTCTGAGCTTAATTATCGGTGAAAATTTGATTGGATTGATTAGTTACTGGCTTCACCATAAAAGGCTTTATACGTGAGTATTCACTTTTGAATTTGTTTTTTCGATCACATTTAATAAATGTTAAACCGATACGGTCATAAATGCAAAATACCTCGGCGGTAAAATGAAGCGTTTTAATGAAGGTATCTGTCAGTTAAGTAGAAATTATGCACATTTACGATGAACGTAAAACCATCAAATGATTTATCATGCTTTCTTTCACTGTAAGGTCTTATCAACAGAACAAACGTCTTATTGGTGAGAACAAAGTTGTTTGAGACAGTAATTTAAAATTTACTTTATTCTGGTGCACGTTTAGAATTATGTGTACTTTGTAGTAGTTTTTTTGGGCCATGTAAAAGAAACTAATTATTTTCTTCCCGCTGGTATTTTATTCCCACCTAGTGAAGTATTTACCACTATTCTCAGTCTGATCCCTTTAGCATGACACTAAATTTGGTGTAGTTAAAATATCTATAGTTAGACCATTAAGAAACTGTTGGGAAGTTAGTTAATACCTTGATAAAGTAGATAAAATGGATAGTTAAATTACAGCATAAATTTTCCATACACCAATTCTTGAGGATTCAGGGAATAAGTGAATTCAGTTAGTGTTAATCTTCCTGTTTTACTTAAAGGTATATCATAAATAGACGTGACCTCCTCTAGAACGTCTGTACAGAATTTAGCTACTGATTAGTTAAATGCAACTAATCAAACACGCATAGATTTGTGTCTTAGACGAAAAGTAACACTTACTATAATGCCATGTCTGCAAAGCCATTATGAAAATGTTAGAGCTCAATAATTTTCTCAGATTAGATCGCTATGAATATGACCTAGGTTTTCTCTCAAATATCTGTAAATTAGTCCACAGCATTCAGTGTGATTTATTCTTTATATACAACTATTTTGGGGAAAAGGATAATTGCCTTGTCTTCATATACTTTCCAATTCATCAGGTGTTTAGAATAACAGACAATGAAAGACACAATCCTTCGGAATTAAATAAGAAAAAGCGAAATAAGTAACCATTTGTGTGTTGTATTATTTTTTCTTCCAAGTAAGAAACTAGGCATCAACGATTAGCAAACAAAATAATCAAGATGTTTTGCGTAAATGACTAGGCGCTCTTCTTAGATAGTGTTCAACTACTTTACTTCCTACAATAAGTGGTTTCATCAGCGACTTACTAATTAATTTAGGTGACCCAAGATACCTTTTTTTAAAAGACAGGCCTTGAATTTTTTATCACTTGTTAAAAATTATTTTCAACAGTTTATTGACAAAAAAGAGAAGAAGATTCCTGAATTCGCATTGATGAAGAAGATACAAGTTAAAGAAAACATTATTACATATGCATGTATGCAGTCGTATCTGCAGGGGAAAGATACACCACATGGCGATAAAGGCAAACACATTTGGTGACGGGAGATAAATTCTTTGAAAAAGAGAGAAAGAACAACGTGCAAGCAAGAAGCTTGGACAAAGTGCACATACACAAAAGTGAGCAAAGGAAGGAGCGGGAGAGTTAACTTTACATTCTATAGACATAAATGTCCATATTAAAAATTTTAAAAAATCAAAACAGAAAAAAAGTATTGAGATTAGAAAAGAGATGGACAAGAGAAAGAAGAAAAAAAAGAAACAAAGTAGTTTATCACAACTTTGAAATCTGCGGCATCAACACACATACATTCAAAAAAACTTGAATTCATTCTCAAAATCATGACCAACGCACACACAAAAGAAACAATTACATGTACAAATATTTAAAGGCATATTAAATTCTTCTATGTCTAATATAAAAAATAAATAGTAATAATAATCCAGCTAAAAATGGTATTGCATAAAAATCCCAATCCATAGATGTTTTAGGATTTGTTGTACTTGGCATAGACGGTGATGAGGATGAGTCAGCAGTGTAACTCGATTCTGAATTCTCCGATGATTTACTATTAAACATACGTCCAATGTAATTGAACTATTTTTATAAGAAAAAAACCCAGGGGGTATAAGAAGATAAACAAAATTATGCATTCATTAATTATTGAATCACTAGAAGAAGTATCAGAATAGATTTCCGGTAATAAAAAGTATTATTATTATTAACTATGATTTATCTCTTTATAATGAAATAAATACACAAAACAAGTGTATTAGTTGAGATTTTAATAATATTTCCTAAAAGTATATACTTTGCAATTATTTCCATAAAAAGCTGTATGATTGCAAAATGGGTTACTACTGAGTCGGCGGTCGATTGAAAATGTGTTTTAAAAACTCGAGATGAATAAGGCATGATCACATGACTTAGTCACGTGATCGCTAGTCAATATACTAACAGGAATACATATAACGAGGATACAAATCACAGACTTGCATTAAAATCTATTTACGCATAATATGATGTTACGTACATTTATACCTATACATAATATCTATGAATAATAATCAACGTAATAAAAGAAAATCACTACACAAATAGCCATGACACAAAACCAAAGTCAGAGTCAAAAAACAATATAGAGTACTCGACATTAAAAATCGAAGTCAAAAATTTCTACAGTTATCACTACACACTTTATTCGCTTGTTATTCCCTTGAGTCCCGAGTGCAGCATAGGCTTCCAGCAGCTCAATCTTTACCTCATCCTGTTCTTTGTAGTCCTCTTTAAGTGACGCTTTCATTCTCTCTTCACACACTCTTCACTATATCATCCGTGGACCCGCGACCGACTTGGGTTCCACTCGAGGTTACGCCTGGCGCATGAAGTCACCTAATGGTCTCCTTAGCGTACTCGTAAGCGTAAGTCCAATCCACTTCCATTTTCTTTTACATATTTATTGAGCAATAGGTTCTTGATTGGTTCGTTCCCAGAGTTCCCTGTTTCTTATCCTTTCTGATCATCTGATCTTCGGTATCGAATGGCGACAGTTGTTAATGAAAGTCTGAAGCAGTGCGCGTTGGAAATGCTTTTTGTGACACACCAAGTCTCTGAACCATAGAGAATCACCGACTGACTTAACATTAGTGTTGAAAATTCGAATTCTGTTCTTTATTCTTAGTGCAGAAGATTTCCACACTGACTAAGGAAGGTCTATCTTGCCTTTCCGACTCCGGTTTCGATATCCTCATTCGTACCGTGTGTAGTTGAAACGATGTTGCCAGAATAAGTAAATTACTGACCTCCTCCGAATTGCTCCCGTTGATGGTGATTAGTGCTTGTTGTTGTTGGTCAAGTCTCTCCATCACCTCTGTCTTCTCTGTGTTCACTTGAAGTTCCTATCTTTGCTGCTTACCTCTCCTTCCAACTTGTCGGTTTTCGCTTATAGATCTTCGAATTTCACACCATTAAGCTTAAATTTGCCTAAGTTGATACGAGAATGGGAATTTGGGCACTATGGGAGATTATAATTCTATATGAGAATAATTTTACTTAATATATCACATTTATTTACTTCTAAGGTAAAATTTCTTGCTACTACCATAACCTTCAGTTTTATTTAGATAGATAGATCTGTTATTTTTGTTGTGATCTGAAGATCTGCTATTAGCTATTGTCCATTATTACTACCAAACAGATAAAAAGATGAGAGACAGGAACACTTCGTAAACAAGAACTGAAAGTTGTACGAGTACCCTGACATAACTACTAGCAATACACTAAGCCCTAGAAGTCATTAGTATCTCTAAATAATATGGTATCACAATGTGCTGTATGAAATAAAATTATTCTGTTATGGAATTTTCTTAAATTACTATACAGTTCAGTTTTATACTGTATACAACTCAAAGCAATGTATGAAGATATATGCTTCTCCGTATGAGTAACACCCAATTAAAATATTTGACTAATAAAATAATTAGAAGAATCTAGTCTAAAAACTGTCCACAAGTATAACGGATATCTTAAAAGTATACGATTTCAGTAGTAAACAACATAAGTTCCACTCCTCTGTGAAACATAGTTTATCTTAAATCTCCGAATGAGAAGTTTTAGCAATAATGGGACCTAAATTTAAAGCTGCTCTAGTGTCGACCGCATACACTTCATCCTACAAAAAATGTATCCTAATGTCGTATCACTTCACTCAGTGATGAAGTTGTACTTTTGCTAGAACATCATTCTGTAACCGTTTAGAAACTGACAGTTATGTCAATCAGTGAGACCAGTAACTTAGCTGGTTTTCAATAATAAATTTAATAACCACAGTTTTGTGGAAATTCCCCCGTCATACATTCATCATATTTAATAAAATTCAAATAATTCAATCACTTTGCAAAGGTAAGTAAATAGAGGAAAGAAGTAAATAAATAGATAGATATGACTGACTGGTTTCAACATAGAACTTTGCACACATATGCAGAGGTTTAAGTTGCCGCACTCTATGTAGCACACGAAGGATGACAAAACAGGAAAAAAGAAATTTGGAAGTACGATAATAAGCAGGAATATAAAGGTCAGGCAATAGTAACAAGGTTTTTTCGGATATAACAGATCACAGTGAGTGGATGCATCTACATCACTGAGAACGACTTTGGAGTCATATTACAAGTTGTCTCCAACCATTGATTCTTAGCATCCAGAGGACGCCAGTCAGGAAGCCTACACCTCCCTTTGCGAATCAAACTAACTCTTAAAGATTTCATGGACTGATGCTATATATTTGCTCGACCATCACTAAATCTTTTCCAACCTGATCCTTGTCAGGTATGAGGAATGAATAAAAACTTTAAACAGTGTAAACAAAAAAAAAAAATCCTAAAGACACTTACAAAGCTGGATTCACTGAAAAACTCCATAGCAAAATAAAATGCAAGGCGTATTAGAGCCAGGCACACAGCTATCCGTGCATCAATAGAGGCTTCAGCAGCCATATCGTAAAATCGTTTGGCCAAATGAAGATCCTAAAAAAACAGTCAAAATCATTTCAATTGTGAACCAACACAAACCAAAAAAATATTAAAAAGACTTTAACAGAATGGCAAGGTGAATATGATCAACAAATATGTAGGAGAAAATGGAGATGGATCAGGCATACATTGAGGAGGCCGTCGAATGACATTGCGCGCCAGGCCAACGAACGCTCGAGTGGAATCCCAATGGGAAGCGACGAGCTGGTCGTCCTAGGGTGACATGGAGGAGATGAGAGATTATGGGAAATCGTGGACCCAGCTGAAGAGGACGGCACCAAATAGGACAAAGTGGAGATGTGTTGTTGAAGCCCTATGTTTCACTCGGAACTCAAGGGAATAATAATAGTTATGACCTGGTAGTCCATGTGGGCTAAGTGTATATTCACATGAAGTGGCAATAAATGTTAAAAATATCAGGTAGGTTCATGACTGAAACTGTCCACTGATGTTGTATGTATTTATGTCTGTACACATAAGCATAACAATTAGCCAACTTAACAACACAAAAATCACCCCATGCTGATGAATGATGATTAAGTTATTATATATAAGCTGAGATTTTGTAAATTCTGGTTTACTAATACTTTTAATAAAGCTATTAACATTAAGGAGTGAAACGTCAATAAAAACAATATCGTTTTGTTTTTCATTCATTGGGAAATACAAAAACTTTTATTTATCATTTATTCACTCCAAACAAGTAAATAGACTTTATTAACAAATAAGAATAAAATTTATATGTGTGCTAAATATTCTAGTGACAATGTGTTAAAAGCTTACATAAGTTTACACAGACAAAACATGATCACTTACTCGTTTCAGCCCTAATCCTTGTTCATGCATGTAACCCAAGTTAAACATAGCTTGTGCATTGTGATGCAGATCAGAGGCAATTCGATAATGTTGGATAGCCTTCTGATAATTAGCATCAGTACCAAGTCCATAGTAGTAATAGTCACCCAACTTTACACGCGAACTTGTTGAACCTGAAAAAGATTATTAAATTTAATCAACAAAGACTATTCAACATCTGAGGCAAAATAAATTGTTCGACTGACAATATAACATGACACAACGCCTATGCGTAGGATATGGAAAGTGGCAACAAACAACAAAGGGAAGTTGGAGAGACAGAAAGAGAGAAAAAAACATATATAAGATAAATTGGGAAACCGTGAGACTAAATTGATATGATTATGAGCAATAATTTATGCCCGAAACTTCATCCAGTTGTTAATAATGAATCACTGAGTGGTATTTAGAAATAATCTTATCTAATATGGCATTACATTTCATCATAGTGCCCAAGTTCTACACTTACATTAATATAACACCAAAGTGAACTATTTCTGTGCAAGTTACTGAACCCATAGGTTTACATGACATTATTATAGTTAGCAGAAACGGCTTATCAATTGGGGCCCACTAGAAAAAACGCGAACAATACTGACTAGCAGACAATTCACCTGTGCCTCATTATAAGATGATGATAGACAGTGTATGAGTCTGGAAATTATATACAACGAATAAAGTAGTCTTATGAAAAGTCACACCAAACATCCCAGTTACCCAAGAAATCTAGGTTTTCAGGGGAACAAGTACTCTGGATACTTGTCATCAGCCAAATGTTACGAAGCAGCAATCCACGACTTCAGACGAAAAGCACTCAAAATAAATCATACGGTAAAACAGTCACTCTTCACAGATGGGTACAATAAATCTAAAAAGAATGCTGAGTCTAGTTTTCATTGCTGAGGTTTATCGAGAAAATCAAGCACTAGCACCTCATCAAGTAGTACGACTTGATTTCTTATTGAGGGAAGTCTACAACACTTCACTTTAAACTAGTGTTATACATCGTATCTCTGATTGATCAAAGATGTGATATACAACATTAAAGCATACCAAACAAATTCCATATAAAGCAAATAAATAGACAATGTATGTATCAACTGATGTGTTCAACAACGACAAACTAATCATCTAGTAAATCTCTGTATACCAATCAATAAATTTATATTTATGTCGTGAAGACTAAAAATAGATCACGTGAACAATACCTTGTGTTGCTGATCTTTGCCATTGAGTAAACGCACGTTTATGAAGTTCATGTTTTGGTATACCTGGAGCTTTATCTACAAATATGTGAACCAAAAAAAAAGAAAAATACAATAACAAATGATGACAGAAAAGAGATAACAAAGAAGTGAATAGAAATTCATAAGATATAACGTAAAATAACCGCAGTAAGTAACAAATACAATTCCCTAGAATAATCGACTTTATAAATTGATTTGAATACATCAGGGACATGTATATCGATTGCCTTTATAAAAGCTATCATCATCGAGCAGTTTAACATTGCAGCAAAATTTTCAAACGTGAATACAGCATTTATCACTAATATTCCTTTAAGTTCTGAGTGGAACATAGGGTTTCAGTAGACCATTTCATCCTGTTCTCTGCAGTCCTTTTTAGCTGGTTCTACTGTTACCTACAGGCTTTCATTCCCTCCTAACACGATCTCCACCATATCACCCTCGGACCCGTGACTAACTCATTCTTTTCTATTCGGGTTCCATTGGAGGTTCTGCCTGACGCATGATTTCATTCAACGGTCTTCATTCTATCTCCATATCCTTCAATAGACATAAGTCATCCGTAAAATCCAGATCCTCCACAGTCTTTTTGTCGGCCCAACATATACCCGTCTTTTCGCTCCTCACAGTCTGTTGCGTGATCCACTCGACAACAATGAGGAATATCATTGGTGATAGTAGGGAAGTTTTTCTTATTCCTGTCTTCACATTTCAAAGACTCCGGTGAGTTTTCCGTTGTGAATCACTCGGCATATGGCATCATCTTATAGGATTACAAAAATGGGTGACAGAAATTTAAATTAAGTTGCACAAAGTAATTAACATACCTTCTTCTAAAATAAATGCCACATTACTCTGAGCCACTTCATAACCTAATTCTGCTAAAAGTTGATATGTAACAAATGCCTCATGATAACGGCGATTACGGAAAGCAGAATATGCAGACATGAACATTTTTGACCAACGACCACGTTCAGCTACATTTTTAAAAAGCTAAAATAAATATTTAGAAAATAGTAATAGAATCTTGTCAAAATTGTCAAATCAAACCAATTTACAAATACTAATTCATTTTATTTATATTATATTATCGTTTTAAGGAGTGTTTTTATAGACAGACTACAAAATCTCTATGATTTAACCAACAAAATTAACCCACAAGTCAACAAAATAAACGGCAAGAAATATAAAAGTATTTTAAAAAATCATACGATAACATAAACTAGAATGAACATATTTTGGCAGAATGGTTAACTCCCCATTATAAGAGAACAACTACGCATTGGCCAAAGCTGTACCACTTTCAAACCCCACCCATAAGTAAGAATTTTAAAAGTAAACAGCACTACTGAACGGTGAATTCGAAATTTAGATTACGGTGAGTGAGTGGACTTTGATTCCTGACAATTTCAGAGCTTTTTTCATATATGGTTTACCAATATGTAGTTTTCTTCACAGTGCAGATCGACAGTTAGTGATACTACTGATTAGTAACACGTTTTTGAATAATTTTATTTTTTATAAAGCAAGAACAGTTCGTACATTTATCTGTGGTAGCAGTTACACTGGGAGAACAGAAAGAAGGGTATACTTTCGATTTTCTGAACATGTAACAAAAAGCCTACATCTAAAAAAACGCCTACAATAGTGCCATTACCAGACATCTCATCCATACGGATCATGAGGTGGACAACGCGAAATCCTTTGAAATTATCGATAGACAAAATAGTTCAGTTCTCCTCAAGTTTGCTGAAACAATTACTATCAAGAGCTTGAAACCCGATTTATGTGTTCAGAAAGAAGCAGTTATCAGTATTTTCTTGTCCCGGTAACTGGATGTCTTTATTCTCTTTCATTTTATTACGTAACCTTTGGTTTCAAACTCACCTCCCTTTGACATAGTGTAACTGTTTATCTCTTGTTTCGATTATTTCAGTTTAACTCATTACACTGTTAGTCAGTTATTAGCTACTAACCATCTTACTCATCTCTTGTCTTGATTATGTAACTCCTTTGCCACTGTATGCAAAGATTTATTTTTGTCTACACTTGAACTTTCTGGGTTCAAACTATGTAAGTGTAATTTCTGAGCACTGTTTATTAAGTTTGGAGTCTAAGAATAAAACTTGGGCACTGGGGTAGAGTATAAGGTATAGAGTATATAAGGTACCTTGTTATGATTATGAGCAATGAATTGTGCTCGAAACTTCATCAGTAAATACTACTGTATAACAGTGTATGATTTTATCGAAATAAAATTTTATCCATAATGGAAGTTTGGAGTCTCCTGTCATCAACTGACGTTATGTAACATTTGCAAGTATGATAAAAATTGTTCTATACGTAAACTTAATTTCTTTAGGCTGTACGCAGTTTATGAGAAGCCAACAAATAAATGGTGGTACCACCACATTTTGCACAAACCATTGTTCTTGCTTCATTTAAATTCATAATGGGGAATAAGTGTATGAAGTTTCTGAAAAAAAGAACACCTTTTTTGACTGGCTTTTGTACATGGATTTTTCTACAGGTATATCACATCTTTTTACTGAAGGAACATTTAGAAATCTTACTAAGTTATTCTCCTCATGCTGTGTGGTAAATGTAAGATCAAGAATTTTACTGAGTATAAGAGTGTCGTACACATACTTCCAGTATCGTTCATTCTGCTATATGCAACCGCACAGGCTAACTATTTATATTGAGGATGATGTGCTTTCAACTTAATCTTAATACCATTCTAAAAATAGTTCAGAGATATTTATAGTTCGATATTACATTAATATATGGTGTTTCCCAGTTGTCTACCTGGTTCACCTTTAATTACAGGATTAAAGGTTATGATATACTACACTTATTACGGTGTGGTATACCTAGAAATATTAAACGCATACAAATTATATGTGGTATGTTGTTTAATAGGCGGTTGTGTACAGAGGGGGGGGGGCGCTTAGTCTTTTCATTTACCTCAACATCAATAGCCACGTTTTACTGTTATGCAGCATAGCTTATATCAGGTAAATATTTAGATGTCTTAATACCATGCAACTCTCATTTTCATATTTCAACCATTTGGCAAATGACAACGAATAATATGAGAAGAAGCGTGAAATCGATAAAAGGAACTAGCAAATTATTTAGGTGTGTAACAACCACCTTACGAAATACTACCCTAAAGTATGGAGTAATAAAACGCGGTAGTTAATGAACACTAGACGAAAGGAATAGTATATAGATAAAAGCACGAAACTGTTAATGTCGACACCAATTTGGAGTCTCTAGAATTGTATCCTAATCAGAAATCGAAATGATGGAAGTTTATCGATGGCATTTTCTAGTTTGAATGGTACAAAATTTTCCGATAGTCACGTACTACAAGCATAAATGCATCAACCACCAACAGTATTAGGTCTAAAGGGAATCTATAACTCTGTAATGTTGTTATGCAAAGAAGACCCAGGAGATCCCATCATATTCAGCGGACAAGAAACATTTTATTACAAAAATAATGAAAACTATGAATCCACTAAACATATCGTTTTCGATGGATTCAAATATCCAAGCATATATTTTATTTTATTGTTGACTCGCAAAAAGCGTAGAACGATCCTGTCAGCATTTGGAGGTGTTCGTTTAATTTACAGATCGCTTTCACTATTCTCGCAGTAATGACGATTAGAAATCTAGAGCAGATTTTGGTAAGCAACACAGTAACTCAGATAAAAGATAGAAAGATAAAAGTATCTGAAATTTAAGAACCTAAGTCAGTTTTTCTGCTTTCTTCTACAAGCACAAACTACATACGAAACTGCTGTGACATTTGTCGAATGTTGATATTTCAAGAAATAGTATGTTTAGTTGATATTTACGGTGTAGCAATTTTATCCTGACTGTTGGTTAATTTCAAAATAAAAGAGAACTTAGCAGAGAGATCAACCACCGATGGGTAATAACATGTTACAGGACACTTTGTAAATGGACTGCCTGATGATTAGTGAAGTGAAACACTTAAGTTCAACAAAACTTCAACAACTCACTTCTCGTACTAATCTATGTGCAACTAAGAAAATTATCAGAAACTACAGTGATAATTACAACACATCAAAAGATATGTAGTCTATAAAGTTCAACTGTACAATAACTGAATAACAACTAGTTGTTTCTAGGCCTCTGTCACGTTAGACAGATTTTTCACGTGCTAGACTTTGATGCACACTTCTTGATTGAGGACCGATGATGATGCGCTACTCAGCAATAGGTGTAACAGGATTCGAACCCGAAGCACATTGGATGAAAGTTCAGTGTTTTAAGCCAACGAGCCTTTTTCACCAATAACAACGAACGATAGATAGCAGTGAAGACTCGTAGTCATCAGCATGATACAGTCAGCAAGGAATTTTGAGGTAAACTGATCAATTTACCAGAAATATTTATAGCACGTTCTACAGAGGAAAATTACAGTCGCTCTGATGCATTGAAATGAAACAATCTACAAATAACCAGTGGTTCACTGAGGCAAAAGTAACCACCACGAATAATTATAGACACACACTTTACTTCACATTTCTAAAAATTCATATTATATGAAAAAAAAATCAGATAACACTTTTACTTACTTCAGCAGCAGTGCTACATGATCGTAATACTCCTGTACCTTTTGCATGCATCTCAGCCAAATGATAGAAAGCCATCACATTACCCTGTTGTGATGCCATAGTAAAGTATTTTAAGGCTAGTTTATAGTCTGCTTTTATTCCATGGGTACCTGAATAGACAAAGAAAAATATTGTTGCAATTCAGCATAAAAATGTTGAAAATTCCATTCTGTATAATTAATATTATTTGGAATAAAGCGATTATTATTACTGATACATTAGTATTATTATTATAATACAAGAATTACGTAGAATTATTTCTTCAAAGATAGATTTATGTCTACGAAAATCACGCACAAACTAAAGTAATGATTCACTACAAAACTGCGAGTGAATTCAGTTTTTTTCTATCTTCGGATCTCTTTACTAAATAATATTTATCTAAAGAGATATCAGATATTCAGTTTTCACTGCACCTGTCACCCGTAAAAAAGCACATTTTTAAATGATGAGTGCTTTTATTTCGTGTTCTTTAGGCTGTAAAGTTCTCGTTGTCTTTCTTAACAACACTTTCAGTACCTACTTCAAAACGGAGTGATTTTTTTGGATTCTCTGTGAATGAAGCAATCTTTTCTGGTGACTTCATCAGCGACTAGTCATCTCCAGTAGTTTTTACGCATCCGTTAGCATTGACCGTTTAGAGTTCCCACCGTTCAAGATTACCACTTTTCCTCTGATGAATTGGTTTCCACAGTTGTCGAAGTATACTGACAAAAAGAAATAGATATTTATTCTGTTAACTGCTCTTGGACGCGAAGATGAAGAGAACCTTCACTTTGAGCAAGACACTTTTTCACAGTTGGTACATTTTACCTTATATATGGTCATCTAATCTTTTGGTTGACATGGCAAGGAATGAAACGACTGTGTTGGGATGTGGGCAATGTTTACTCCAAAATGTTTCCATATTTTGGCAGTGATTTTAGAAATGTTTTTCATAGATAGAAGGAGTTCTCAAGAACAATGTTGTACGATTCAGCAGCAAACATCTGAGCAAGTTGCGTTAACATAAATTTTTTGGAAGACAGATTATTTATATGTTATAAGAACTCGTCACCAAAATGTAATCGTAACACTGAGATGAAATTAAAAATCAGTTTTCTCCAAGCAATTTTTTTGAAGTTAAGTAATAATAGAATGATCAATACGTGAAATGAGCAAGTTAATCACATTACCATACCTAAGAAGAGTCGACCAAGATACAATTGCGCTTCAGGCCAACCCTGATCAGCAGCTTTTAAGAATAACTCCATTGCAGTGACTGGTTTAGCTGGTAAACCGGCGCGGCCGTGTAGATAAGCTAGTGCCAAACCTGTTTGTCCGATTGGATTGTTTTCTTCAGCTGACTTGCGTAAATACTTCAAAGCTTTCGCTGAATCTGCAGGAACAGCAGCGCTACCAACCATGTACATCTTTCAAAACAAAACAATATTAAAAAATTTCTTTGACAAGGGTGTAGTAGCTTCAAATTACGGAAATAAACTATTTGGAAGCAATTACTCAGAATAAGCCCTTCATGTGCCCAGCTGTCAGCGACACTTGTGGTGATACTATCCAGATGCCCAGGCTGAAGTAGGTGGAGCAGGATTTGAACCCCGAATCCACTGGCTGAATTCCGGGGACTTAAGACAATTAGCTACATCCCAATGTTATTCGAATCAAACAGTCCTTACAAGTATGGTTGATGACTTGATAAAGATATAAAGAGCCTTAGATGCTGCTTGGTACAAAGTGCCTACAATTATCGAAAAATGTAAATGAGATAAAGCATATAGCAGCAAGATACCACATAATTATTCAAGGCGAATCTTTTAATAAGCTTGTTTCTATCCTACTTTTGTCACGGATTCAGCAAATTAGCACGGCTTGAAATCCATAGCAGTGATGCAGATGTATTCATTCTTAATTATCTTTAAAATTCAGCTACTTTGGAATTTTGTTTTTCCTTTTCCCTTCCAAGTTGTTATTAAACGTGGAAACATAAAAATATAAGCACTCTTCAGATACTATATGGCGAACAGTTGCAGTAAAAAAGAGGATAAATTGTTCATAATTTTAGAAATTAGGAAAAGAACTTCTGAAGATGAAATACTGTTTAATGAGCTGAGTTAAATTACTGTACAAACCTCGCCTAAATAAGCCATAGCTATAGCACTTCCAGATTCTGCAGCCAGATTGAAGTAGTAGAAGGCTTTTTCGTGATCCATTTCAACGCCGTGTCTACCATAATAGTATAACTGACCCAAGCCAATCATTGCACTGACATTCTTTTTATACGCCATAAACTGATAATACTGGAATAAGTCTTCGCTAATTGTAAGGTCTCCATCCTGACTATTCGTATCCACTTCGTCCAGTAGACGTGCACGCCGTACCATAGGTCCAAGGAGAGTTGGACCCCCAGCTTCAGAACGTTCAGATACTTCATTAAAGACAACTTTGGCCACTCGATGATAATGTGTTAGTGCTGCTTCACAGTCTTCCTCAACACCCACGCCCGTCCAATAACGATAACCCTAATCAAAGTATAAAAAGCGTAACAAGATGAAAATAATCAAATAAAAATAATATTAATTGGAATGGTTAATTTTTCACTCATAAGTGAAAATTAAAAACAATCATAGTAATTAAGTTACAGAACGTCTTTGCAAACGAAAATAACATTCAGGTAGAATAGAAAGGGATTAAGAGTTCATTTTAATCACAAATCGTTTAAAATAGAAATACATAGAGGGACTCTAACACTAACTGACAATTATGGAAGTCTGCTAGTAATTCAGTTGATTCTACATAGTTATGGTCAATTGCCTTACAAAAAAACCATTTTGCTTCTTGATGAAAAACATTTACCACTTTCGAGTGGTCTAGATACAGGTGCAGATTCTTCGAATAGCTCTTTTAATGTTCAGTTACGTGGCTGAGCTTCGTGCATCGTCTTCAAGGGATTACTGATCCGCAACCAATATCCAGCGGTCAGTTAACAATTACTTGACACTGACAGCTGATATCAAACACTTGAAAAGCAATAACCACGCACGTAGGTTTACCTGCTCATTAATCATCAATAGTTTAGAATTATTGTGTTCCAAATTGTCACGGCGGATAAATACACCTGAAGGTATACACTACAAGTGAATAGTATCATGAGAGCAATGAAAACACCACAAAATTGTGGAAGTGAGTTATTTTCCTTGGTAACACGCTTATCTACTAGAAGAACAAGAATACCGAGACATTCGGTAGAAATCTTGCAGACAGAAAAGAACAACCATATTACAATACAAAAAAGGCAACCACAAGCATCAATAAACCTTTCGTGTTATTCACTCAGTAATGTAGTATCATGCAAGTGAAATCAAGAGTGGTCATAAAAAACATCCAAAGATATCATTCGTTTTCAAATCATCAAGTCAATCTGTAATTGTAGAAGACAAGATACTTGGTAATGGAATTCGTTATCTCTATATAGCGAAATTATGCACACTTTATCTTCAAATCACCATTTGCACAGATCTTCCATATTGTGCCACTTCTATCCTTCATATTGTGTTTCTTTGTGTTCCTTTCACGTCTCCTGTTTTTCAGCAAGCTGAATTATTTGCTTTCTCTGACGTCAAATCTATTTATCTTTCTACTTTTTGATTTTTTCTATGCCGATGAACGTCTCCTTATATACTACTGATATATCTTATCAGTAGCACAAGCCACAAATCTACTATTTAGTTATCAGGGAGCTCACTACACAAATAAGTTATATTTTAATCGGATTTTTCTTGACTATTAATTCATTTAAAATGTAAACTTTAGGTACTCATATGAATGACTCGGAATTTGTAATCATGACCGAAAAAGTGAATGGAAAAATTCACTGATACTCTAAACTTGAATATAATACCTAGGAAAAGTGATGATGATGAGTTTCGGTATATATAATTCATGTTTCTTATTATCATAAGAAATTGCTATCCCTGAAACACTGAATATATTCAAAGGGAAAAGAAAGTACAGAAATACACATTATCATAAAATGAATTTGTCTAGTTATGTACGTTAGATTGTAACATGACAATACCACTAGTTGTTTTTTGATTGAAAAACTATAGATGGGCACTAACAATTTCTAAATAACTTGTAAATGACTATATAAACTAAGAAACCCACTAGTGTATCTACTGGATTCTAGGAAAGTGTTTGTCAACGACACAGTGACAGTGGAACAGAACTCTCCGTATTATGCGAAATTTAGGCGACGGAAAATATGAATATATCATACCACCTACACTTATTATTAGAAGTTAAACAGCAAGATAATAATGACTCATATTAAGTAAAGACAGAAATTCAGCAATCTGTATGAACAAATATTCCAAAAATAATCGTATACGTTCAGACTCGTGTTCGAGGTGACTACTTTAGTAGGCTCAAAATTACATAGGGAATAGGCCATTTCAGTCAATTCACAAAATTCAGAATGAAAATAAACAATGCATGACAGCGACGTGTCCCGTAGCTTAATGGCCACATTGTACTCAGTCAATGGATTTCTAAAAACGTTTAAGATTGGAAAACTACGTTGGCTAATAATTAGTATCATTGTCGAAAAACTGACAAGAACAGAAATTAACTCGACTTCTTCTAATCGATGTGTAATTTATGGGACAAAAGAGGTCGCTGTTTCGAACGCAGTACGAAATTACAAAACAACTGCTAATTATCAAGGAATTGATTTTATAGATAAGACGAAATGAATTACCAGTGCCATATCTGCAAAGTTATCTCCTCCGAGAGCAGCAAATGTAAAATATATCAAGGCATGTGGAATGCTTGCGTTAACATGTAATCCGGATGCATACAAAAACCCCAAACCGAATTGACCACGAGGATTTCCACTATTGGATAGTTGCTCGAATGCTGAATAAGCATTGTGAAAAGGATCTGGTGTATGACCTGCAAGTAATGTCAGCAAAGCAAGCTGTTCTTGAGCCTTTGTATAACCCTGTCTGGAGGCCTCGTTTAATAGTTCCAGAGCACTATATCATACAAAATAAAAAATCAGCATTAACGAAGTTAATACAATGAAGAAATATTATAGAAATTGAAAAAAGTAGAGGATGTTAAAATGTATGGTAACTGAAAGTCAGCAAAGACATACAATTACCTTTTGCCAGCAGATGACTGAATGTCTCCTTTCTCCAAAAGATTCATAGCTTCTTCATACAAATGTTGAGGTACACTTGATTCCTGAGTCTCTTCTTCATTTGATAATGGGTCGGTCTTTTTTTCTGAGTTATCATCTAAAAGTTAAAATCTATAGATCAACTTACCATCGACCGATGAAGTCCCGTCAGTTGTAACATCATTAGTACTCCATTCGAGCATAATATCATCTGTTGATTCTTGGTCTAAACGTTATGAAAAGAAAAGAGTTTGCGTTACCTCCATCTTTTACATGTGTGTCTAATGGACTATCTATTGACTCTGAGCTAACATCTGGATCTTCTTTATCCTTTAAAATTTGAGAGAATACTATTCAAATATAGTAACAATAAAATTGCCTTACATAAATCAGGTTCTAGAAAATCACGTAGGAATTTCTCAACAGTTTCCGGATCATCCAAATGTTCTAGGTCACTTTTAACTTTCTTTTTTTCTTGAGCTGTTTGAACGTCAACACCACCTAGAGTAAGATTAAAACATGTTTTATAAAAAAATCCATCTTAAAACATTTTACACATGTATGGACAATAGTATATAACTTTTAGTTGCCATAAGAACACTGAAAATGAAGTCAATAAGAAATGTGGCAAAAAATTGAAAATATCGCCCCTACTGCTGGAAAAGTCAGGTGCTAAAGAGAAATGGTCACAAAGGTCATTTGAAAACTGAAAATTCTGAAATTTTAGTAAGGCTAAGGCGTAAATGTGTCTACGCCAAAGAAAGCTGAAATACCCGACTACCGCTTAGGACCCCAGACATCTAATATGGAATAAATATGATACAAAGTACAGGTAATCAACTAAACACTTAGGGTGAAGGTAATAACTAACCAAGAAAATATACGAATACATACACGCTTAGCTACCGGATGAGTAACAAACATTTCACATTATTACTTTAATCACTGAAACCTCAGAATTAAGCGAAACCTAGTGTTCGAAATATACTACGCAAAACTGCTTCTTTTATTACTCTGAATAATAGCAATGATTGCAGTCATTATTTAACAATATCGCTTAGAGCGAATTTTTGATTTAAACACAAAATTTTAAAGCAAGTCCGACAATACTACTTACGATGGCAAGAATAAGGTGAGGATAGTTCAGCCTCTTACAATGGAGAGTAGTGACAAAACGTTACCCCATGTTGTTGGTTTTCTCTCTTTAAACAACAAGGTAACTAAACTGACTTCTTAACGTAAAGCTTTGCACAAACAGCTATAAATTAGAACGGCTAGCTTCTCCCTATCTCCCACTTTCAACAACCACGTCTCACAGCCATCAAGGACGGGACGAATTGCTGCGAGGTACACACGTCCCTTGGTCGATAGCTGGACATCGTGCCACGGCCAGAGATGACGGAAGTTTACAAGTGCCACAGAATCCTTTTGTACTCGCGCTGATATTTCGTCAGTACTCAGTCCAGTAAGGCTGATGGAACTTTCCAAACGAGTGAAGTGGTTAACCCGCTATCTTTGAACTAGGAGTCGGTGCAGACCAGTCCAGATGCATCATTTTATATTTGACAGGGACAAACCAAATACCGAACATACTAAGATTTCTGCTCACGGTATTTAGAAGACTTCTAAGACTGTAAATACCCAGTGAATCACGAAGAAAATAAAAGATAATTCATCCTATAACTCTCATTTTCTTTATGACTTTACACTCTGTCACTGTCTTCATATAGGACTGTATCATATGCACACTCTAAATCTATCAGACTGTACCCTATTAACACGTTAATCCCTAAGTCACCAAAGTCGATCCACTGGTAAATGATGAAATTCAATTAAAATGGACATCACTGGTTATCTAAAATCAAGTTCTTCGGATAAAAACTATCCGTAAGAACTCACACAACTATGCATATGTTCCAAAATCTAAAAAAACGTGAAAATAAGTCCAATACACCATCGTCCGAATCTCAAACCCTCCTGATCTTTACGGGTCTGTTTCTTCTAAGCACTGCTTCGTCTGTGCAGAAATATGGATCCTAGAATTTCAGATACTTTGTTAGTTAAACTGAATCCCCTAAGATTATCTTGGGTAAAACTGCCGGCCAGCTATTAGCAGAACAAAGCGTTCTGAAGACTGTGTCTGAAGCTATTTTTTATTCATGTTTTCAATCATCTTTATTTATGTGTTAAGAATAGGAGATGGAAATGAAAACCTGTTAGGAATCATCAATAAGGACAAACTTCTAAATATGAGAATCAAATGTGTCCGGCAGCTAAATGGCTAGTGGATATCGAAAGGATAAAGACTGCATTTTTTTGACTAATTGTTCTTAAATAAAGATAGTAAATCGAAATTAAACTTGTTTAGGTGGTGTCATAACAAATTTTTATGGCTTCCTATTAAAAAGGCCTAGAAACCCAAATTCTGACAATTAAACCTAACATACTGAAATGGCACGCCATGCATGCCTTAAATTAAACTAAGCACTAAATAGTTCTGGCTAATTCTAATGTTGTTACCCTAATCTAGATGTTACTAGAATTTCTATGAGCTAAGCTAACCAGTCACTTTACTAATTATGATCCTAAATGGATTGTCTATTAACTGTGTATAAAGGAGATATTACAAGTGAAGTGGTCACCAATTGCTTTACGCTTCATAAGTAGATTTTTGAAACAACAAAGTGCAGCAGTGAGTATCACTTCACACTGAGAGACGTCGAAAATAATGGTAATGGGATTAAAGTAGCTTTATATGACTATCTCCTTGTGTGACATGTAATCCAAGCACAGTGGCTATCTCCGTAGAGAGGTATGATGACTACTAAGGTTACTAAATTTTACCCGTTCAAAACAATCAAGTGAATGACACTGAGTTTATCACATGAGATGCAATTCTTTCCTATAGTGAGAGTTAAATCCTTAAAGTGAACGGGTTAAACCAACCAACCATGTAACTGAACTAAAGTATGCTTCGTGAAAACGCAAGCGTCACCAAAGACAGTGAAAGTAATATGAAGGCAATGATGCAAAGATTAAGTAATATCCCAACTTCAATACGAATTCGTATTGAATTATGTCTTTCAGCTTCTGGTTGAAACCAGAAAGTAAAAGAACATCCTAACTTGTAACTAGTCATAAATTCCACTTTTTACAGCTTTAAAAATTCGCCATACTTCCTTTAATGTACTACGTAGCTTCCCAGTAATGCAGGCCTTTGTGACCTTTATAAAACGTGACCAATTAATTGGTCTAAATAACGAAGTTCATTTAGTGAATTCAGTACATGATGTGCTGTCTACGTAGGACACAGGTGTCACGTATATTATGAAATGGCCAAAATATTACAAATTTATAAACCCTTAGTGTTTTCTTCGAAGAGACAACGGAATGCGGTTTCAACACACATGAAATTTAAATCCGGACTAGCACTGAGCAACATAGGCTTACCACTCTTTTTCTTTGATCTTAAATCCTCTGATGTTCCTGAACAAACAGAGAGGATATATATCAGTACCAAACACACATATAGGCGTGTTGGATATTTCACTAGGCAAAAATAAAACATCACTAGAAATATCCAAAAAACGCGCCGTGGACTAAAACGCGTGTGTCTCCTATTCGCTGGATCACTGAAGGTCACGCGGTACTCTATAAGTTAGAGTATGGTGAATGTATACCTGCTAAGGTTTAAGTACCTGTTCTTTTGTAAAGTTTCAAGGTTTAAGATATCAATACATTCCATTTTAGACATTTTGTAGTCGAGTTATATGTGATATGAGATTCATATATTCCAGATTATTTGACTGAGGATAGAGGGCTTCAAGCTTGTGCTAATCATTTTCTAATAAGTATCTATGCTTATTTAATTTATTCTTGAACGAGTCAATTAAGGATGCATATATTATTTCTTCTGGAAGTCTGTTTTAAGAGTTTGTGGTTCAGTGGGAGAATTAGAACTCTCTATTTATATCTTTCGAGATGTTCCTGTTGGGAGGACAAAGAGATAATAGATCAGGCCCATAGTAATTTCTTAGAATTCTGAAAATAGTAGTGTTATCTCTTTTCCTGTGGTACGATAAAAAGAGATCCAGAGAGTCGGGTTTTTCTTCTTATGACAAATTAGTCAAATGAAGAATCGCTCGTTGAAACCTTACTGAAGTGTATGAATCCCCCTTGAGAACAGAGTTGGTTGCTTGGGTGAAGGGTTTTTATTCCGATGTCGCTAGAGATGCGTATAAATTCTTGGACATTGTGAGTGGTATACATAGATGCGTGCGAGTGGTGGTCTCTAATGAACTTTAATTGAACGGCTTTGAACTTATTATATCGTTTTAAATCCCCCATTTCTTTATCCCGAGAAGCTTCGTCAAGCGGAAAAACAAATGCCAATGACATACAGTATAAATAAAATAGCTACTCACCAGGTGAGATGACACAGTGTTAAAAATCAATACACTTTTGACCTTTGCATTTCAGTCGTCTGCACTTCGCTGCGCCTACAATTCTTCGTGAGCAGGACGAGGCACACGTTTGCTGCAGTCACCAGTTACGCGGGCCAGGCTAAGCTCTCATCAGGTAGTTTGACTAGCTCTAAGGTCTAGCAGGATTGATAGCCATATGTCAACCGTCAACGTTATGTTTAGTCGAAACCAACTGGATACAAGTTCAAAATCAGGGCTTAGGTCAACAGTAGATAGTCATGCAGCTATCGTGATAGTTATTTTGGTTGAAACCAGCTGGAAGTGAGCTCGAAGTCGTTCAAGTAACCTAACTAACTTGTTTCTCAGACTGCCTATTACAAAGATCATGTAACGAACGCAAACATATACCACATGCGGCAAAGCAGACACTGAAAAACCTCCAGAAGTGTAGGGAGATATTTCCACAGACTCCTCAGGTTATTAGACTACAAAGTGTCCGTAGCTCATGTTTTTAATGTAAAATAAAAGTGAAGGAATAATTACCCAGATTTTCTAAAAGGTCGTCTGGACGCTAACTCATTATACACGGATGCAGTTCGCACAGAAACACACGTATTTGATCCCAGATAATGTTCTCACTCGTCATGGCTTCCCCCTCGACATTTGAAATTTGTTGACCATTTCTGGTAACTTACGGGAAGTGCTTACTATCGTTCCAAAAAAAGTGGGTATGGCCGGATCAGAGAGTTTACATAATCAAGTGGTTCTGTGGACTATATGATCAAAATTTGTCTAAAGTAAGTGAGTATTCTGATAACTTTTGATTCTGAACAACAGAAATGTAATGCTTGACTATCTTTTACTACTTTCATCGAGTTTGATATCATGTTTTCTTACCGTATCGACAGTCAGGCCCACCACGTTGTTCACAGCTGCCAATAATTATTGCAATCTATGAAATCCAGTTTTACATGTGAAACACTGATGACAAAATCAATGCCAATAAATTTGCTATACACCGACGTAGGCAGCGTATACGCAAAATTAATATTAATATCAAAATTTAACCACAAGCGCACTATACTCACAGAACTCTTCACATACGATCGATTTGGTGGGTTATTTCATATGAATGAAATGACCTGAGTAAAACGTTTGTTAAGTTCCGACGTTAGCGACTGCAATGCTAGTAAGTGAAATTAATTCACCACAGTGGAGAGTGTGTAGGTAGTATTAGGCCACTAGCAGCAACAAGCGACAGGTAATTTCCAGCTCACATGCCTTTAGAAAGCATGTCAACTTCGAAGTAATCCATAAAAGGCGAAGTTATTTGAAAAATCTTATTTTATCTCCTGAAAAGAAACAAGTCTTTATCGAAGGCGAAAATTATATTCATAACCATTGAATGCCAGGAAATGCAATACGAACTCTAGGCGCAAAAGTAGAACAGAAAATGGCCTAAGTAAAGAAAATATTGAAAAGTGTACGAACGACTAAATAATTGTTTCATGCAATTGGCTTTCAATTGAATAAATCAAAATATGTGGCATATCAATATAATCAATATCTGTTACATTACTAACTTGTAAAATCTACTATTGACATTGTATCATATTGATCGTCTTAAAGCATCATTCATGTAAATTATGTTTATATGAAATATAAAATATTATTATTATCAAAATTTTGGGCCATGGTATGTTTACTGCCCCTCAGTTTTACGTGGGGTTTCAAAGGTTTGACTTATTAGGAGTTAGGTGGCGATCCGAGATGACGGGTCCTATAGGCTCCAGAATTTACAAGCATTATTAGTTTATGAGGCATGAAGCACGCGTCACAGACTGATCCTGGATATGGTACTTAAATATGACAGTTCTGCAGTCACTGGTATGTATAACACTACTGTGTTGTTGTCAGTTATGTGAGACCAGCTTTGAAATGATTGACAGATCTCGTGACGAAGTTTGCTCTAATCTTTGGCAGATGTACTAACAATATTCTAAATGTGTACGAAGTGTGGTTTCTGATGATTTCAACACTGCATCAGAATAATACTAATATAGAGGTTGGTATTACTTTCTCAACGCCGTTATCCACGGCATTACTTGTGAAAAGAAAGGAAGGCAGAATAAAACTGTAAGAGTTGGGAAGTATCTTACAAGTGTTGAAAGCTCAAAATAAGCAATGTTTGAGAATATAGGATTAATTGTCTACCGAAAAGTTACAGCTGTGGAGTTTTATAGTGTTTCACACTAACGGTGAGTTAGAATGTATTGTAGTAATATAGGATAATAACCCATAGTTATTTGAGATAATCTTGGGAAAAAGTTGTAAAAAAGATAGATCCGAAACTCGGAGTGTCAGAAATGTGCAGAACTAAAGGAAAATACCCATATATATAATCTAATATATACAAATAGTTGTGGTTACTCCGAAACCCTTAGAAATGAACTCAACATTGACTCTGAGCACATCTAACCACATCCACTCCGTGAATTCAGTCTGTTCTAAATCACGAATCAACCCAAGTATCTGCTTTAAGGAAAGTGTGCGATTGATTTCGTGAAAATTTCAGGTTTCAGAGTATTGTAGGGATGCTACATTAACTGGAATAACTCAAATGTTGCCTAGAATTCTTGTGTAGAGTCACTAAAGGACCTGCATTTCGGTGGATGGATTGTTGTAGAAAAGCAAGCATCGGAAATGATAAGCTGAACTAAAAGTTTTTGAGGCATCAAAACTGCTGCAGAGTCAGATTTAGTTTCTGTGAGACTGTCTGTGCTGAAATTACTGGAAGGGAAAATCCCCTCGTACCAAAAGTCCAGTGGGGCCAACATCGCTGAGGTGCTGCATCTTGGGGATGGTGTGGCAGTGCACATTAATGAAATCGTCCTGATTAAACGTAAGTATAACCGAGGTGGTTTTAGGGCCACTAAGTGTCTGCCTAACCTTGCCTAGTTAACTAGCTCGCTAGTTTTCTAGCTGGTCCCGAGTAAAGGTAAATAGGGAGGGTTGGGCGTGAGGCTAGCAACCACTAAATCTTCCAAACCGCTAAAGAAACTTCAACGCACAGAAAATATATTAAAAATATGAAAACTTCAAATCACAACAATCTTATTCCCCTCTCGAATTGGAGGGCCGAAAACCTTCGGGAAGCAGTTCAGCCGATGTGTCTTCTCTCGATAAAAGCAAGAGTAATAATGGGTACGTGGAATGTCCCCACAATGTACGAGACTGAGAAGGCCGCCAAGGTAGTCAAAGAGATGCGAAGATCTGGCTCAGAAGTACTGGCTTTCTGTGAAAGCAGATGGAATGGATGTGGATTGACGACATTATCAACGGGAGAGTCAGTATTCTACTCCAGTAACCCAGACGACAACCACGAACACACTGAGGGAATTAGTGGCTATCATAATGTTGCCAGTGGCAGCCAAAGCCCCAATACGGTGCGTGTAAACAGTAATGGACAAAATCTCAAATGCTGACATCAAAATCCTTAAGGGCGATATGAATTCCAAACTGGGACCTGATAATAGCGGAAGAGAGCTCACCATGGGTCGAGAAGCTTTTGGAGAAATGAATGAGAACGGAGGACTGTTCTCAGACTTCTGCGGTTTCAACGATTTGGTGATTTGAGTTAGCGTGTACAAGCACAAGGATATACACAAAGCAACGGACGGACACACTACGAACTAGATAGATTTCATCTCAATGCTGCTCAAAGAAGTGGAGACGCAACCTGCTGGATACGAAGTCGAGATGGGGAGCAGATGTGGGCTCAGACCATGATCTATTTCAGAGTACCTTCAAGGTAAACCTGAAATCCATGAAAACAAATGGAGACAGGCCATTGTAATTCAAGTTCAACATTCAGAAACTGAAAGACAAACTACAAGGAATGCTTTCGCCACAGATCAGATCAGTGCAAAGTCGGACACACTAAGTGGCATCACTGAAGAAACCTGTGTGGGAGAAAACTGAAACTCTCTGAAAGCGATATTTAAGGAAACGAGTACAACTGTTCTAGGAAGAAAGGAGAGACTAGACAAGAAATGGCTGTCAGCGGACGCCTGGAAGCTAATAGCAGAGGGGAAAGGAGGATGGCGAAAGAGAAGATGATTCAATGCGAAGACTGACAACAGGAAGAGAAGCTGAGTTCAATGTACACCTCACTGAATAAAGAAGTGGAGAAGAGTGCTAGGAAAGACAAACGACAATTTTACGACACCCTGGCAACT